AAGGGGGGGTTCAACTGTACTTTGGAGAGGGGGGTGGGGTTGGGTGGGCGTGTCCTTCGAGAAGTACTTCGGTCAGCTGTTATTATATACCGTTACGGTCCGTCCCCCCCTCCGTAAGGCATTTTATCGTGGTCCAGAGGCTACGACGCTGGGAGAATCGCTGCTCCGGTAGCCCCTTCAGGGGACAAGAAACAATTGTCAGGATCGCCTCGGCATGCGAACTGACCACCGGGCAACACAGCAGCATTGGTCAAAGGGACTGGGAAGTAGCCGGTTGCTTATGATGGAGAGCCATGTGCTGTGAATTATAGGTGATGCAAGTACCTTGCCCCCTCTTCTCGTCTCTTTCACACTCTACAGTGTTTGGTTCCTGTTGTTTTTGATTTCCATTTTCTTTCATTTCCTCCTTCTTTCTCCTCTTTAACCATTGCGACAGTCATACTGACGAAATGCAGTCGTGCGGTGTTGAGTTAAGACGTATATGAATTAATCGTAATTCCTATTGCGGTGTTAAGTTAAGACGTATATGACTTAATGGACCAAAAAGTCTTATCTCACTCTTATCGCCCTCTAAGCTACCCGATTTCTTTTATCCCGAATTCAAATTTTGCACCTTCGCCATCTGCACTTCCAGGGTCAATTTAGATGCTGTAATCTGGTAATCAGCATGGTACCGCATTTATGAATCTGCTGTCGTTTTTTTTTGATCTTTGATCAACAAGAAACTTTGTATTGTGTGCCCAGATGCAGTATTTTGCAGAAGATTGCATATGTCCTGGTTGGCCAAAGTATCCGATTTTGCTGGTCGTGCCGAGGATTTGCTCAATCAGATTGACCAAAGTGCTGCCGTTGTATGTAAAAAAATCTTTTTTTTTTGTTGGCAGAATTGTTTTTTTTTTTTTGAAAATTTGCGGTTTTTGGTAATTCTCTGAAGCGGCGATCAGTATTTTAGGCCTTAAAAAAACCAAAGAAAAAACCGACGGGACGAAGTGACTCGGCTGTGACGCTGATTAATATCGAGGAAGAGAATGCCGCGCACCCGGGAAAAGCTCATTCGGAGATTGTCGAAAATTCAGCAGTTAGACATCATATAAGGTAATAAAATTGTTTTAATGAAGGAAGAAGTTAGTAGTATTAAAAAATTAATAAAAACTTGAAATGTATTCTAAAATATATTAAAGAAATGTTTCGGTCCATTAAGTCGTATACATTTCTTACCATTACCACAATTGGATCTCGTCAGTATGACGACTGTGGTAATCGATATGAATTTGATTTTAATTTAAAATAATGATAAAAAATGTTTCGATCCATCAAGTCATATACATTTCTTAAATAGTTATTTTATCATATAAGGTAAATCGTTTTATATGATTTACGGACACGAAGCCTCGCTGAATGTCATTGGAATTAATGTAGGGAGAACATTTTATCAGTTCGTATCAATCCTCACCTTCTATCGTGCCCTTAAAAGTTTTTAGGTTAGACTAGTATGTGTGGATGTGTGTCTGCGTGTCTATGCATGTGCGTTTGTGTACATGTTTGTGTGTGTAAATGCGTGTGTGTGTATGTGTGCGTGTGTATGTGTGTGTGTGTAGTGGTGTGGGCGTGTGTAGTGGAGTGTGTGTGGGTGTGTATGTGGGTGATCTTTCATAAATTTCTGTTCATATGCTTAAATTTTTACGGGAATTTAAGGCCCACTCACGCTGGTTCAGTATCGGGTCGCATTCAAGGGAAGAAGGAAGATGAATTAATCGCATATCTGAATGATGCAAATGAGCCATCTTCAAGTCGCTGCTCATCCATAGCGAGTCGTTTTTCGGCGCCAGCACCTCAAGGCAAAATACAGCATTACTTATTAAAAAAATACTTGAATTGTAGTGAACAGAAGAATTAGCTTGGGCATATTTTACTTAATTATTTTTCAATTAAATTTAATTTTTTAAACTATCAATTTTTTAAGAAATTAAACCGGTTCTTCAAGATTTTATTTGGCACCAGTTTATGTGTGTCATTTATTGCGTAGTTGAAATTGATCGATTCAGATGTGTTTTTTTTGGATTAAAAATTAATTTAAGTATTATTTTTTCATTAACTAAAACAGACTATTCATATA